GGGGGGAAGCGGGTACGTGAGCGGGGCAACACATCGCTCAGGAAGTCCACTGGGTGGAGACGGGACGTTCTGGGACAGCAGGGTCCCCTGGGCCCCCTTCCTCCCCGCCCCCCACCCGGCAGGGATAACCGACAGACGGAGGCCCTCGACAGCACCGACAACCGCTGAAATTTTAGCCAAAAGGTCAGCATGCACCTTTTCATGCTATTTTTCAAGGATCTGGGATGTAGTCCTGGAATCACAGTTTCAAAAGACATCGGACATCAGGTAAAGTTCCAAAAGCAAATTATAAATAAAACAAAGCCATGGGCCTGTGTTCTCTCCTTTTCCTTATTGTCCTACACGCTTCTGCCTCTTGCAGTCACTACGAAAAACAGAGTCTGGGTACGCAGTAGAGTGGGGACGGATGAATTTCTCAAACAGATGGGGCAGGGAAGAGCTCGAGATGGAGACCCGGGCTTTCAGCCTTCAGCCGTGATTAAACGAGGGAACTCTCTGCTGTCCTCGCTCCATCTAATTTTTCCCTTTGTTTCTGGGAGCCCTCCAAGCTCCCTACTTCCAATCAACCAAATCACCTGAGTTGGACTCATTTCTCAAGCAAATGCTGCAATCTAGCAATACAACGCTAGATAGGAATCCCCTGGGATATGAAAGACAATTAATACAATTTTCCCCAAAGTGACCCCTAACCACTTTTTTTTTTTTTTTTTTTTTTTTTTTTTTGCGGTACGTGGGCCTCTCACTGTTGTGGCCTCTCCCGTTGTGGAGCACAGGCTCCGGATGCGCAGGCCCAGCGGCCATGGCTCACGGGCCCAGCCGCTCCGCGGCATGTGGGATCCTCCCGGACCAGGGCACGAACCCGTGTCCCCTGCATTGGCTGGCGGACTCTCAACCACTGCGCCACCAGGGAAGCCCCTAACCACTTTCTATCATTCCGTTCATCTCTGGCCACCTATCCAAGGCCACTGGACAGAACAAGATCTCATGATTCACCTGAAGTCCTGACTTCATCCCTACCTCTAAATTCTTTTTAAAAATTTAGGGGAATTCCCTGGTGGTCCAACGATTAGGACTCCGCGCTTCCACCACAGGGGGCATGGGTTCAAACCCTGGTCGGGGAATTAAGATCCTGCAAGCCGTGTGGTGCAGCAAAAAAATAAAAAGTAAAAATAAAATAAAAAATAAAAATTTAAGAAACAGGAATCACAGAGCACTGAACTGGACAATCTCTCAAAAAATCTCCCAATAGGGGCTTCCCTGGTGGCGCAGTGGTTGAGAGTCTGCCTGCCGATGCAGGGGACATGGGTTCGTGCCCCGGTCCGGGAGGATCCCACATGCTGCGGAGCGGCTGGGCCTGTGAGCCATGGCCGCTGAGCCTGTGCGTCCGGAGCCTGTGCTCCGCAATGGGAGAGGCCACAACAGTGAGAGGCCCACGTACCGCAAAAAAAAAAAAAAAGTCTCCCAATAACGACTTCAAATCATTCTCATATGCTAATTTAGGAAATCTGAGTATGTATGAGATATAAACTGATATTAAGGAAGCATTATTTACTGTGTTAGGAGTCATCATAGCAATGCATAACTAAAAGAAAAGTCTCTGTCATTCAGGATACATACTGAACCAGTATTTGCAGGTAGAATGATGTGCATTAAATTCCTCCATTTAAAAGAAAAGCTGGGGGCTTCCCTGGTGGCACAGTGGTTGAGAATCTGCCTGCTAATGCAGGGGACATGGGTTCGAGCCCTGGTCTGGGAGGATCCCACATGCCGCGGTGCAACTAGGCCCGTGAGCCACAACTACTGAGCCTGCGCATCTGGAGACTGTGCTCCGCAACAAGAGAGGCAGCGATAGTGAGTGGCCCGCGCACCGCGATGAAGAGTGGCCCCCTCTTGCCACACTAGAGAAAGCCCTCGCACAGAAACGAAGGCCCAACAGAGCCAAAATAAATAAATTAATAAATTCCTACCCCCAACATAAAAAAAAAAAAAAAAGAAAAGAAAAGCTGGGTGGTAAACAAAGCAAGCTTAACATATCGGTAACTGGTAAAGTTGGGCAATGAAAATATGAGGGTTTATTATAGTATTTTCTCTATTTTTGCATCTGTTTGAAATTGTTCCTAATAAAAATTAACATAAATACGCTAAAAAATAAAGTTAAATTGTTCTCACAGTAAAACGCAGGGATTCTTAGGAAAAGGAAACTACTGCTATCCCCTAGTGGTCATCCTCAGAATGACTTGCTGGCAGCCATAAAATCATGGCCCTTAGTTCTAATAGATGGGGGATTCCTCCAACTCACTGAAACTAATGACCGAGCTCACCTCTTGAAACAGCTGTCCTTCAGAACTAAGCCAGAAGAGCTCTGACTCCAAGCAGTTGTGGCTCCTGACATGCTTTCCCTGACCAGTGATCAACCTCTCCTTGTGTTACAAGTAAGAAAGAGGGAAAGAAGAGAATGTCCCCATCTGTTCAAAAACCCAAGGACGTCTCTGCTCCCCTCCCCGCTCCAGACTCACCATGCTGAGAGGAGGAAGAGGACTTCTCCAGCATGGATTTGTAGAGGTTGCGGAAGGACCAGCTTAGATCCTGAAAATTGATCTCTGAGTAGGAGAATTTGAAGTCATGGTTGGTGTTGTACAGAGGAGGGGGACCCTCGGTGCTCTCTCGGCCTGGAGCCCCTGCTGCCACTGCTCCACCATCCACAGACCCTGTGCCCTGCAGAAAGAGGTAAGAAAGACTCAACCCATGTCCTACATGAGGGACCAATACAACCCCTTAATGGACACCGAGTTCTCTGCCTGTCCTCTTCATCCTCTCCCACCTTTTCAATGAATGAGCATCATTTTCTCCTTCTCTTCTCATTCGTTCCTATCTTGCTGTAGCTTCTTGCCCTTCTCCTGTGCTACATCCATAGTCATCTTTCCTTTCTCATAACCTTTTTGGCTCTCTTTCTTGTCTTCTCACCACTTTTTTTCTGATCTTTCTTAAAACTTTGTCGTCTC